TAATCCCAGCACTCTGGAGGCTGAGGCGGGAGGATCCTTGTGAGTTCAAGGCCAGCCTGGGCTACAAAGTGAGCTCAAGGCCCGCCTGAACTGCACAGCGAGACCCTGTCTCAAAAAAATTAAAAAAAAAAAAAAAGAGTTGTTTCTTTGAAAGAATAAATAATATTGATAAACCTGTAGCCAACCTTATCAAAAACAGAAAGACAAATGCATGCAAATAAGAATGAAAAGTGTAAAACTACAACAGACCCTGCAGAAATCCAGAGAATCATCAATACCTACTTTGAGAACCAGTACTCAAAACAATGGAAAAGACAGAAAAAAAATGGACAGATTCATAGATAAATATGAATTACCAAAGTTGAATAAAGAAGTTGAATAAAAATTCTAAATAACCCAATATCAGTCAATGGAAGTGCAGATCTAATTAAAAACTTACCAACAAAAAAAGCCCAGGTCCTGACTGATTTGCTGCTGAATTCTACATGAAAATTAGAGAAGATCTAAGGCCACTACACCTCAAATTATTTAATAAAATTGAAAAGGGACAAATATTCCCACAGTCATTCCTGGAAGCAAGCATTACCCTGATACCAAAACCAGAGAAGGATCCAAACAAAAAAGACAACTACCGGCCAATCTCCCTAATGATCATAGACACAAAAAGTCCTTAACAAGACACTGGCAGAGAAAATGCAGCAAATCATCAAGAAGATTATACAGCATGGCCAAGTAGAATTGATCCCAGGGATACAGGGATGGTTTAACATACACAAATTAATAAATGTAATATATCATATTAACAAATACAAAGACAAAAACTATAGGACCATCTAAATAGATGCTGAAAAAGCATTTGACAAAGTTTAACATCTATTCATGATAAAAACTCTACAGATAATTTGAACAGTTTTAATTCAATCTGATAAAAGCCATCTATCACAAACCAGCAGTCATCATCATACTAAATGGTAAAAAACACTGAGCTTTCACTCTAAAACCAGGAATAAAACAAAGATGTCCATTGTTACCTCTTTTATTCAATATTGTTCTAGAAATATTAGCCATAGCAATTAGAAAAGTGAAAGAAATATAAAGAATAAGGAAGAAGTTAAATTATCATCAATTCTAGAAGACATAATGCTCTACATAGAAGACCCCAAAAACTCCACTGAAAGACTTCTAGATTTAATGACCAAATTCAGTAGCATAGCTGGGTATAAAGTTAACACTTGTTATGTCTGATACATTGTGTCAACTTGAGTCTAGAGGCTTGGCTAAGGGACTCAGCAATTCTATATCCTGGGGTGAAGAGGACAGGTCCTCACCACTCTGGGACGTTGTTCACTGTGTCAATGTGAGAAGTTTAGAAGGTGAACTATGTGACTGTGCAGGGCCAGGTCCTTACTTTGTATCATCCTGAGCCTGTGCAGGAGGAGGGTGTGGGGATGATGTGAGTGCTGCATGCACGCTGGGTCGGGGGAGCCTCCTTACAATAGAAGGGAGGGAAAGAGGCTTTCTCCTCTCCCGTTTTTGCTCTTGCTTGCTTTTGCTGTCTTGTGCCACTCTGAAGTATTGCCCCTGTGCCATGTGCCACCCTGCCTTGGAGCTAGCGTATTATAGACTGAAACCTCCACAAACTGTGAGCTAAATAAACCTTTCCTTCCTTAATTTTGGGTGTTGGGTATTTTGTCTCAGCAATGAGAGAAAAGTAACCAAGAGAACACTGAAAAATCAGTAGCATTCCTGTAGTAAAATAACGAACTCACTGAGAAAGAAATTAGGGAAATAACACCTTGTACCATAGCATCCAAAAAAATGAAATACCTAGAAACCAATCTAAAGAAAAAAGTAAAAGACGTTTACCTTGAAAACTACATTCCTCTGGAAGAGGACATCAAAAAATGGAAAGCTATCCCTTGTTCTTGGGTAGAAAGAACCAATATAGTGAAAAACGGTCATACTCCCCTAATTGTTATACAGATTTAATGCAATTCAGATCAAAATATCAATAGCATATCTCACAGAACTAGAGAAAATAGTACTAAAATTCATTTGGAACCAGAAGAGACCTAAAATAGCAAAAACAATTCTGAGCAACAAAGGCAAGGCAGGGGGCATCACAATCTCTGATTTGAAGATATACTACAAAGCTACTGTGATAAAAACAATATGGTACTGGCAAAAAACCCAAAAATTTAAAAAAAATAGACTTGAGGATCAGTGTAACAGATAAAAAGATGCAGAAACAATGCAAACACACTCAGTCATCTTGCCGTTGACAAAGAGGCAAAACACCTTCACTGAAAGAAAGATAGCCTCTTTAATAAATGATGCTGGAAAAACTGGCTTTCCACATACCAAAGAGTAAAATTGGACTCATATCTCTCACCATGCACTAAACTAAAATCAAAATGAATCAAAAATTTAAATATTAAAACAGAAACACTAAATCTCTAAGATAGAATAGGTAGAAGTCTTGAGAACACTGGTGCAGGCAACGACTTTATAAACAAAACACTGATCACATAGGAAATATTAAAGAGAATCAACAAATCGCATATCATCTCATTAAAAAGCTTGGCACAGAAAAGGAAATCACCAACAGAGTGAAAAGACAACCAACAGAGTGAGAAAAAGAATTTACCAGCTGTTCCTCAGTTAAAGGACTAATATCCCAAATATATGAAGAACTCAAAAAGTTATTAGCATCCCCCAAATTTAAATACCCAATCCAAAAATTGGCATCTGAAATGAATATATACTTCTCAGATGAAGAAATACAAATGGCCAATAAACTTCTGAAAAACTCCTTAACATCACCAGTCATTTGAGAGATACAAATTAAAAAAACACTGAGATTCTATCTCACTCCAGAAAGAATGTCTATTATCAAGTAATCAATCAAGAACAAATGCTGGTGGAGTTGTGCAGAAAAAGGAACTCTTCTCCACTGTTGGTGCAACCACTGTGGCAGTTCATGTGAAGATTCCTCAAAAAAATAAAGCTAGAGGTCCCATTTGACCTGGCCATTCCCCTTCTTGGTGTCTTCTAAAAGCACCATACCATAGTGACATATACACACCCATGTTTATTTAGGCACAGTTTATAATAACTAAATTGTAGAAACAGCTCAATTGCCCATCAATGGATGAGTGGGTAAAGATGTGTGTTTTCTTTATAAAATGGAGTATTACTCAGCTATAAAGAAGGATAAACCTGACACATTTCTAGGCAAATGGATACACCCTGTGACCATACTTTTAAGTGCAATAAATCAGACACACACGTGTAAATATTGCATTGTCTGTTGTGAGGAACTGGAAGTATAAATAAGGACCAAAATGTATAATAGATATTGTGAAACAGGAAGAAAGTGTTCAAATGGGAAGGAGAAGTAGGGAGGGGATAGGGGGAAAGGAAGAAAGGGAAAAGAAAATCAGGAAAAAATGGAAACAAAGTTTCTGTAAATAAGGAGGGGGAAATGGGTTGAAGGGAGGCAAGGAGAATGGGAAAAAAGAGGAAGCAAGATATCACGTCCTGGTACAAATTTCCTATGATGAATTTGATCATTATGTATATCTATACTATATCAATAAAATTAATTAAAAAACAGTTTTGTACACATATGCACTTTCCATCTTCACTTCACAGTCCATTCCCCACTGCCTTCTGTAGCAAGACCCAAGACAGTTTCCCTGTCATTTTCTGGCACTACAATACATAAGGGTTTTAAAAATAAAACAAACCTGGAGGCCTTCCTAACAAGGAGGCAAGACAGGTCATGACACTCCACGAGGAGTTCGGAGACTGAAGTAAGTAGCCCTGAGGTTCCAATGCCAAGTAACTGTATGAGCATCACACGATCAATGCAGAGCCCATAATCTCACTAGAGAAGTTAGCTGGGAGCTGCAGAAAGGACACAGTCTATTAAGTCAGGTCGTCCTACAATGGAGTTACACTGCTTTTCTGAGCTCATTCCCTGTTGTTAAGATAAGGGTAGTCATGCCCTTCCTTTCCGCACACTTTAACTGAGAATGAAATAGAGGAAGGATAGAAAGGTGGTCTATAAAGTAGAAATTAAAGTGAAATATTTTACAGTCACCCACCCATACCACAAAGAAAGCTTGAGTCACAATGAAGTCTTTCTAAATTTTATTGGCACCGAAATAGAACATAGGTTGAGCATAAACCTCTCCAAAAACAATTTTTTAAAAACCCAAGAATATACCAAAAGACATGAATATAAAATCTAACTTTTCTCCCCAGCCTCCCTGGAAGAGGCTTACTGCCTTACTTAAAGCAGCTTAAATTGCCCCACAATTCCGGGTTTTAATTTAGCCAATACAGGGCATAAACGAGTGTCAAAATAATTCACAGCAATGCACGCAACACTCCCCAAGTCGGGGAGGCGGGTCCAGAGAGGCACAGGGCATCCCCTTGAGGAATGAATCTTGGGGAGAAGGCAAATAGAAACCATAAAACCAAATGCCAATTACTTTACAAATGGACTGTATGACCTATAGTGACGGGCAACAACAGTAATACTGAAAGCTTCTTACATTAAATTTCTGGCAAAATATCCTTTTATAATATAGTATATGCTTCCCAGGTATGGGGGTAGTAAAAGACATGAGGCCAGAATAATCTTGCCCCAAGACTAATATCTTCTAACTGAACTGTGTATTAGCAAGAAAGGTAGAAATCAATATTGAGTTAGCTATCACTAGAATATTTAATACTGGTAGAAAAAAAGAGCATACATGAGGTGGAGAGGAGGAGGAAGAGGCTACTCCTGGGTTAAGGGCAAAGCATGGGGGTGCATAAGGGACCAGGCCAGAATCCCCAGCAGCTCTATGCTATGTAGGCCATGGGATCACACAGTTAGTGACAAGACCTAGGTTAAAGGTTTGTGAAAGGCACAGCCCAGGCACCACCTTGGACAGGGGTGACAGGGAGGAACTACTGGGCACCCGAAAGGGTTAAGCAAACTGCAGGATCAGAGGCATGGGCTTCTTTACCATATATACCTTCTTCTGTCCACCCCTTCATTGAGCCTACTGGCATCACGATCTAGCGCTCACCATACTAAGGTCAAGATGGCCGTGAAGCAGGAACTGCGGCCCAAGTAGTTCTGATGGGGGATGTGTCCTAGACTGGTAGGGAAAATACTGACAAAAGGTATGAACATTTATTTTGGCAAGAGCTGTACATGGGGCTGGCTGCTCTTTTGGGTACTCAGCCCTACTGTTGTAGCTGGAGGGGACTGAGGGATCGGAGGGGGAATGGAAAGATCCAGAGAAGAACTAGGGTCCTGGAGTACTAGGGGGTACCACTGCCCAAAGAGTTGACTTGATTGAAGCTTAGGCTCCCATAAGGCATTGGGGCAGGGTCTTTTACCCATTCTTACCTGAACAAAAGGACCAATGGCCTTGTAGAATGTGAAGCCTCTTGAAGGCACTGTCTTCCTATCCTACTCAAGGGAGAAACTGAGTTCCTGAACTCAAGGTGTACTAGAACTGAGTTTGTAACAGCTCAAATCTGGGAGGTAGAAACAACAATGACTGAGTATCTTTTACTCCCCAAGAAGTAGAAAGCCTCTAAAAGGGATGGGGTCTAGGAGGCCAAATTCTAGGTCAGCTGACCCTGTCAGGGCCCTACCTCTTCTTTTTAAACCCTGTAATCCAACCCTGAAAAAAATCACATGATGTGGAAGAGGAAAGTAATGGTGGTATAGGGGAGTAGGGATCATTTTCAACCTACTCTACACTTACCTCTCGTGGGTAACAGTTACATATGGAGGTTTCTGCCTAGTCAAATGGAAAGTGCCTCAGAGCTGGGGAAGTGGTCTATTCTAGCAAGCTAGATTAAATGAGTTAGAGAGGGGGAAAGGGCTCCCATTGGCACCACAGTGGGCCATTTGTCTGCCCAAGATTGAGCAGGGCTGATTGGCTAGGTTTGGTCCCATGGCTGCACTGAATGCTTGGCATGACTCCAGAGCTGCTCTAGTTAGTGGCTCCAGCACAGTGTGAGTTAGACAAAGGTATGGGGAGTATAAGGAAGAATAAAGGAGGGGTCCCTAGAGGCTGGGTGTCCATTACATGATTACATGGACTCAAACTCATCAATGCGCTGCTTGGTGTTGCCCTGCCGGATCTGACGCAGGGTCTTGTATTTATCTCGGCCCAGTCGCATGTTCTCAGCATGGATCATGTCATTGGCGGTCTTCTTGGACTCATCACGGGCATTGGCCAGCTCTGAAGTGAGGGCCTGTGAAGATGCAAGGGGATTCATGATTCAACAGCTTCCTCTCATTTTAGCTCTACTTATTTTATCAGATTTATCTTCTGTTCTTTTTTTTCCTTCCGTCTCCTATATATCTATATCTATAGCTGTATCTATGTCTATATCTATATCCATCAATGTATATATCAATCTATCTGTCCATGCCCCATCTATCTAGAGGGAGTCAAGGTGGAAAGGAGAGACAGAAAAATCTAGGATTGTAGTGGGGTAAGAATTTAAAAAAAAACCATGCAAACCTAGGGGACTACTTGACAATAGGTATCCCTTGACAGTAGAACAATATACCAAAGATTCATGTAGAAATTTTATCAGCTAGATATTTTCAGAACGTAAGAGGTGAATGGGGGCCGGGGATATAGCTCAGTGGCATAAGCACCTGCCTGGCAAGCGCAAGGTCCTGAGTTCAATTCCTGGTACCAAAAAAAAAAAAAGGTGAATGAGGCCAGGGCTATAGCTCAGCGGCACAGCACCTTGCTTGGCAAGTGCAAGGTCCTGAGTTCGATTCCCAGTAGCAAAAAAAAAAAAACCATAAGAGGTGAATGAAGATGGGGCAGAAAGTGAGGCAGAAAATCTCAAAAGGAAAGTGGCAAACTGGGGTCTGATTAAAAAGTGAAAAGTGGCCACTCTTTAAAGTTTCACTTCAAATAGGCTTAGACTCCCATGCAGCACCTGGACAGTCTCCTATAACTACCCCTCACGGTGGCCTAGGGAATGACATGCGCATAGTCCCCTTGACCCTTTGCTGATGCCTGGATACCTTCAGGTGCTTCTGCACTCGCTCATTCTTCTCTGCCTCAGTGGTACGCTCCTCCTCACTGCGGTCCTTGGCCATAGCATCAGCCCGCAGGTCAGCACTGGCCTCTGCCCCATTCTCATCTTGTTCATCCTGCTCATTTTCTGCAGGCTCTGCCACATGAGGTGTATTCATGGCAGTCTTCAACTCAGCACGGGTCTTCTCCAAGTCTTCCTGTACCATCTGTGCCTGTTCAGTGACAGAAAGACCAGCAGTTAGACCAAGAAACCTGTGGCAATCTTTGCATGCCACGAATAGCTGGCTGTTTGTACATACCAAATGGGCCAATGATCTCATCTGCCTGATTCCTAGTTTCCACAGCTATAAAACAGAAGCATTTGGATCCACTTCCCCAGGGGTACTGGGGAATATTGGAAAGTATTTGAGAAAGCATTAAGCACCTTCTTCCAGCATACCAGCTATACAGAAAAGGTGGAAGGTGGAAAGAGCCCAAAACTAAGGAATCTATGGAGCTGAGATGTGCGCATGCGGTACCCCTTCTCGCAGTGCTTTGTTCCAGTGCTGTGTCTTACCTTCTGCTGCCACTCAACAGCCTCACTCTCCTTCTTCTGTCGGGCCATCTCTAGCTGAGAGATCCGAGCTGTCAGCTCAGCCATTTCTGAAGCCTACAGACAAATTAGAAGCCTGTGAGGGTGGTGTCTCCTGGTCGCCAGCGACCAGGTGTCTTCAACCCAAATTCCCCTGGAAAACCAGCTGGGAACTTGCTAGTCCACTTACTTGTTGCATTGGCAGTCTTTTAACCATTACCACTCCGCTTCACTCCTATCTTCCTTACCTAGGACTTCCTTTATAGATCATAGCTCCTCTCCTAGAGTGTAGGCCTTGCAAAGATGATAACCTGTCAGTTCTGTACCTTCCTCATATCTGTCCCTCTTCCTCCGTCCCTCCCTCTCCTTCTTCCCCTCTCACGTGTGCATCAAGTATGAGCCCCCATAAAGCTCTGGAGGTGACTGAAGTGCCAACTCTTTTCTGCTATCCTGAGCTGCACAAGTCTCTGCTAAGACTTCCCAGGACAAGGAAAGAACTCAAATGTCACAAGGTGATTTGAACAAGGGAAAAAACTTATGCACACCTTCACACCTTGGGCAAACTTCCCAAAATAGCTTCTTTTGAGAGCTAGGTTTCAGTTGCATCAACTCCCACCGCAAATAATACAAAGGCAGGGGGTATTCAAGGAATTTAGACCACAGATTAACTTCTGAGTCACAGAAACCTTGGAAATTGGGGAGGGATTGTTTGTGTGTCTTGTTTGCTTTTGTCTTTTTGAGACAAGGTCTCGCTAGGCAGTTCAAGCTGGCCTTGAGCTCACTTTGTACCCCAGGGTGGTCATGAAATCTCAGTGATCATCCTGCCTCAGCCTCCCGAGGCTGGGGTTACAGGCGTGCACCACCACGCTTGGTGGATAACCTTGGAAATTGTGATGAAAATATGGATACCCATCCTCCTCCCCCCAAACAATATATGGACACCCAGTTTTGCATGTGATTTCAAGGAACTTCTGCCCTAAAGCCTGGTTGTAGGCTCCTTTCCCCAAAACCTTCAACCTGAGGTAGAAGTGCGCTCTAATCCTTGTCCACGTACAACTGTGTGACCTTTGGCAAGTCTCCTAACCTCACTAAGACCTAATTTCCTTTATCTGGCAATATTCTCATATGGGGGTTAATCCCATAGGGTTGCTAGTAAAAAGAAATAAAAAAGTAAGGAAAAGGGAAGTATGGTTGGCATAGCAACACACAGTAGCTACTAATTAAGCATGAGTCCCTTTACTCCTCACTGCTTTTCCTTTTCAGGTTACCAGCTCAGATCTCCAAAGGTTAAGAAAGGGAATAAAGTCAGGCATGGTGGTGTACACCTGTAGCCTGTATTCTCAGCACTCAGGAGCCTGAGGCAGGAGGATCGACATGACTTTGAGTCCAGCCTGAACTACATAGTGAGACCCTGTCTCAAAAAAAAAAAAAAAAAAGTAGAAAGACAGCGACTACAAACCAACAGTTAGGAAAGACTGTTTGCAAAGGTTTCTGGCCCAAGCTGAGTGACCCCTCAGCTTGCTTCTGAATGAACTGTTAGGGGCCTGTGGAATGGAAACCTGCTAGAAAGAGCCAGCTCTTCAGGCAGAAGTAGCTATACATAGGCAGGCAGACAAAGGAGAAAACACAGGTCCCACAATCTCAGCCCATTGTGCAGCTTTACCAGTTGTTCTTGGGTCTTCTTCTGGTCCCGGGAGGCCTGCAGCAAAGCCTCCTTAGCCTCTTCCGCTTCTTGACGCTCCTTGGCCAGCTTTTCAGCCTCACTCTGGGCACGCTTCCGTTCCTGCTCAAGTTCCAGGGCTCTGCGTGTCTGTTCTTCCAGTTCTAGGCAGAAAAAGAAGGGAGAGTGCAGTGAGGGGCACAGGAAGGAAGACGGCACACTGTCTTTCTTCCTGGATATGCTCCACCTCATGGCACAACGGGCAGAAGGTTCTGAAACTTCTTCTTCACCCATCCTTCATCTATTCTGTGCCCACACCTGCACTATGTCACCTGGAACGATAGCTCAGGTAGAAAGGTCTCCAGCTCACGCAGTCAGGATCTAGGGAAACTCATTTGCCATAGTAACTTCAAGCCTCACCTTGTTGAGCCTTCTTAGTCTGTTCCTCAATCTGCTTCAGCTTCTCCATCAGTTCTTCTTTCTCCCGTTCAATCTTCTCCTTCTCCTTTTCTGCCATCTCACGCTTCTTCTTCTCATTTTCCAGCAGGGCACTAGGAAAAGGAGAAGGGCAGATGGAACAAACAACAAAGCTACATAGAAGTTTGGGGATTCCTGGCTCCCCTCGGCGCCTACCCTTCCAACACACCCAGAGCAGGTGCGCTTGGACCACTGCCCCTTACCTCCACTTCCCTGCCTACTCGACACAGCCCCACATAGGGCGGTATGCTCATGGCTCAGTCAGTTTGCCCCTGGGTCAGGAAACCCAGTCTGGAATTCCTGATCTATGAGTAACCCACGGAGCCACCCTAGCTATGCTGCTGCTTTGCTCTTGTTCTCAGTTCCCCTATGTGTAAAATGGCCTGCATGTCCTGTTCTGTCTTCTTTGTGGCATTATAGCTCCATACTAGGATGGTAAGCTTCAGGGTAGAGATCCCTGTAGCTAGGTCGAACTTTGCCTGCCCTAAAGCCTGGTTGTAGGCTCTTTTCCCCAAAACTGTGTTGCAAATCTAGAATAAGTATTTTCTTTATCTTGTTCTTTCCCTGCTTCCAGAAAGCCTTCTTATCCCTTGGCTAGATGGTTTTTCTCCCTTTGAGCCCTCAAAATACTGGGTGTACCCTTTTTCCATCCCTGTTCCCTGTAGTTCTTCTCCATAACACTTTTTACCATACTAAAACTACATAATTTACTATGTTGTTTTCTTCTTCCACTAGAATGATAGTATCGAGAACAGGAATTTTTGGACATTTTCATTACTCAACAAATATTTACTAAGGGGATGAACGGAACAGCCTTTGTATCTTGAGAGCTAAGGAGAGAGAGAGAGAGAGAGAGAGAGAGAGAGAGAGATTGTTTTCCTTCTCTTTCCTACTAGACCATGAGGACCTAGAAAGCTAGTTCCTGCCAGATTCAGCTCTGTGAGCGGACCCTCATCTTGGTAAATTTTTTCTAAATAAATGTGAACCTTAGTACATAAACACTCATATATGGAGTCATTTCTAGTCTAGTAGATTAGAAACCTTCCAAGATTCCAAACTATGTCTATCTGTCTCTGTCTGTCTGTCTGTCTCTCTCTCTCAGTAGCTGGAATTGAACCCAGGGCCTTCACACTGAGCTACATCCCCGGCCATCCCTAGGGTCTCATTAAGTCACTAAGTTGCCCAGACTGGACTCGAACTTGCAATCCTTCTACCTCAGCCTCCAAGAGTGTCGGGGTGACCAGTGTGTGCCACCACACCAAGAAGGTTCCACACCTTTTATGACAAGGCACCTACTCTAGCAGTGCTCCTGAAATCCTAATGTTTATAGGAATCAACTGAGATCTTTTAAAGTAATTTATTAAAGTTCACATAACATAAACCATTTTAAAGTGAACAGTTCAGAGGCACGTAGTACATCTACAGTGTTGTTCAACCACCACCTTTTCCTAGTTTCAAAACATTTTCATCACTCCAAAGTAAAACCTCATGGCCATTAGGAAGTTTCTCCTCACCCCCCCACCCCCTCAACCTGTGACAAACATCGATCTACATTCTGTTTCTACATACTTTTTATTGTGAACATTCATATACATAGAACCATAACACGTAACCTTTCTTGCCTGACTTTTCTTACCTAGCCTGATGTTTTCCAGCTGCACCCATATTATAGCATGTATGGCTGAAAAACATTCTGCTGTGGTTTGGTTATGGTTTGTCCCCCTACGGTTCACATATTAGAGGCTTGCTCCCCAGTGTAACAGAATCGAGAGGTGGAGAACACTTCACAAGGTGGGGCCTAGTGGGAGGTGATTAGGTCATTAAAGGAACAAAACTCAGAAGGGATTAATCCTAGCTGAAGTGAGTGGTTTGGATTTCACAGGATTGCATCAGTATTTGTGAAAGTGGGTTATTGTAAATAAGCCTGGCACCTCCCCTGAATCCCTCTTCCTCATGTACTACTCTGTGCCTGCATGTGCTCCTGCTATGTAATGATGCCCTTTGCCATGTTATGCTTTACTAGAAAGCTCTTACCAGATGTGGGTGCCTGATCTTGGCCTTCTCAATCCCGAAAACCATGAGCCAAAATAAACCTCTTTTACTTACAAAATACCCAGTCTCAGGAACTCTCTTCTACCAATACAAAATAGACTTAAGATATATTTTGTTATATGTATTTATAATTTATCTATTTATCCAGTGATAAACATTCCATATTTTTGCTATTATTAATAATGCTCCCATAAACATGTGCGTACATATATTTGTTTGAATACCCCTTTTCAGTTATCTGGAGGTTCTTACCTAGGAGCAGGATTGGAGAAGTACATTGTAATTCTATGTTTAACTTTTTGAGGAACTGTCACACTGCTTTCAATCTTTTTACATCACTCCCCACCAATGTATACGGATCCCAATTTCTCCACCACCTCACCAACTTATTTCCAGTTTTATTTTTTGTGTCTACACTAAAAGGTATGAAGTAGTACCTCATTATTGTTTTCCTTTGCGTTTACCTAATGACAAAGGATGTTTACATGTGTTTGTTTGCCATCTGAATATCTCTTTGAAGAAATGATCTCCTGGATCTGAGATCCAGATTTTGATCACTGGTCTGGAGCAGGGTCTTAGATCTTGTCTTTCTAACAAGTTCCCAAATTGATGATGATGATGATGCTGAGCCTCAGATTATACTTTGAGTAGCAAGAGGCTGTACTGAAAACACTGTGGCCTTGTAGGCAAAATTCTGGGGGCTCTGTCCATTTCTGCTCACAAACCCCTATAGAATATAAGCTTAAATGTGCACAGAGCTCTCCACTACTGTCACTAGACTAGTCAGTTAGCCTGGTGCAACCCAGAGTCTACCTAGCATACCAGTGGCTTCAAGTTCATAGACAATGGAGACCTATGGAATGCCCATCCATCCAATATGCTTCTGATAGCTGCTTCCTGGGTACACCTGAGAATGGATGCAGGGGGTACTGTCCCTGCAGCTCACTCACTCTTAGTCCTAGGTTGACTTCACATCTTGCCTTGGAAAGCTCAGAAGCCTGTAGCTGCCTTACCCCAGCACTAACACTCACTCCGGCACCCGCTCCAGCTCTGTAGCACCTACCGCTCCATCTGCTTCTGGTGCTTCTCCTCCCGGGCCTGTGCCTTCATCTGCTGCACTTCAATGGTGTCAGGCTTGCGGCGGCGCATATATAGCTCATGGTTCCCCATGCACAGGGCTAAAATCCGCTTGTTAATCCTCAGCCGAGGAGCATAAAAGACAAAGTCCTGGTGGAAAAACAGCAGTCAAAAAGAGTTTGGAAGAACAGGCAAAGGACAACTTCTATCTTCTAAAAAACTAAATCCAAAATCCCTGCGAAGATAATTTATCCAATCCTTTCTATTACAGATAGGAAAACTAATTATCAGACCGGTGAAGTGATTTGCCCAGGGTCAGATGGCAGGTTAGTGGTAGACCAAGACTTGAACTCAGATTTCTTAACTCTGCAATCAGTGCAGTCCATCAAACCGGAACTCTTTTTAACATTTACTTACAAAAAGTATCCTAAAATACCCTGAACTCAAGAATCAGAGCTGCCTTTCTCTACTAATTAGATATGATATTGCGCTTTAGAGGGCGTCTTTTAGAAGCCACACAATCTCTGTATGCTACCCTACTGGGTACAATATGGGTGACTGAACTGTTGCTGTAATCTCCAAAAAGCATGTCCTTGACTCAGACCTTCAAATCCTTTTTAGAACAAGGCAGGCTATAAATACACTCATAAATACATCTCCTATATATTGATTGTTTGGGTCATCGTTTGTTAAATAAGTCCTTTATCTCAGCTGGCTTTGTTACTTACCTTTTTCTGATGAAAGTTGAGCACAGCAGCAATAAAAAACACACAAGAAAATCCAGTGAGTTTGAGTTAGTTACTATAAATACCACTGGACCAAGATCACCAGCTGACGGGTTAACCAATACCTCTTCTGTCAAAGCCAAACTGCTATCATTTCATATAGCTTGGGGTATAATGGAAGAAAAGCAAGCTCTTAAAGTCAAATGACCTAGGCATAAATCACAGTTGTACTGCTTTTAGCTATGTGATCGTAGGCAAATCACTCCATCCCTCTGAACATGAATTTCATCAATTTCATGGGTATACGCACATAATCAAGTTGTTGAGCATTTAAGAAGACAACACATATAAAGTACCTAGTAGAGGAAGTTCAGACATCTTTGGGCTGGAGAAGAAGATTAAGCCCTCATGAAATGGGTCAGGCTCAACGAGGCCATTGACCCTTGCTGGACACAAGGTACACCAGAGGACTAGACCCTCATGTGAGTTTCTGTCTTAAACTTAACTACCACTTTTCTAGTCTTGTTAGCCACAGGCAACTAAGTAGGTAAGAAGAGTGGTGAACATATTAAAGGAAGATCTGGACCCACTGCATTTTCTTGCACTTAGGTTGCACTGGAAGGAAATCTGAGAAGGCACCCATAAAGTTATACCAAAAAGCCAATTTTGAAGATAACCTTTGGATTTGGACTTCTTCTGGCTCTGTCCTTTTACCAGAATTAAAGATAAAAAATATGTGAATATAATCTACCTTCTAGGGCTGAGGAGCTAAGAAAAATGAGATATATTCTGTTTCCACTACAGAGTCTCACAGTAGCAGAAGACAATGGTTAAGAAGAAGCATTCAGGACTGCCTGCGGCTCTCCTTTACTGAGAGTGAGGGAGGGAAGGAATCAGGGAGAGAGAGACAGAGACAGAGACAGAGAGACAGAGAGAGATACAGGGACAGAGAGACAGAGACAAAGAAACAGACACAGGGATATGAGGATGCCATTGAGACACAGACAGCAAAATAGCACCAGGTATAGGATGATTCCTAGCCATTTCTCAGCACTGATATTTCCTTCCATGTCAACCTACATTTATACCTCCTGTACACGTGGGTATGCACATGTGTACACATAGACAAATTCAGAAAAAGAAAAGACAAATACAATGACATGATCAGGTTTAGGATAATACAGGCCTTGGTGAGTACCTGTCATTATCAAAGGGAAGTCAGTCACTCACCGGAGATTTTTTGTCAATAGGCTTGATGACAAATTTCTTGTCATTGAAAGAGATGTTCCTGATTTCACTCCAGGGGAAGCCAATCTTGGGAGTCAGTCTGTAGCAGTGGAAACCAATAGCATCAAGACAAGGGGAAGATAAGAAAGGCATAGAAGGCTAATGCTTTGCCTTCATCTCTCTCCTGCCCAAAGTGAGGAGGTAGGCCCATTACCAGCGTCATCACATGCCACCAGATCATTTGCCAGCATTTATCTTGGGTCAACGACCTCCTGATACCACCATCAACATATTATTATTTGCTCCAATCTCTGAGGTTTTTTCCACTTTGGTTGAGGCATGGGTCTTGGAAAAGTCCTTAAGGGCATCCCTAGCCCTATTTTAGAGAGACTCTTCCAAGGTTATAAAAATTAGGGAGAAGATAAATAATGAATTCCAAGGTTCAGAAGTTATACGGAACAATAATCTATTCATCTCCATCCTCACCAAGAGTAGAGCAAGGCGGTGGGTAGGGGATATGCAGGTAAGATGAGGCCACACAAGAGAATTATAGGGCAAAAGGCACTTAATCATCACATGGGACTTGGTCCTATGTACAAATCCTGACAAGGTAGATTCCAGGCCAGCACTGTCTTTAAAAAATTATACATGTTAATAATATTAATATAATATACAATGATATTCATACTACATATAATAAGTGTCACATTCTAAGTTCTGTAGTAGTCACATGAACATGAATAAAAAAGAAACAGGTGGAGTTAATTACAATACAGTTAATTAACTCAATATACCCCAAATACTATGACTTAAATATATGAATCAGTACTTTAAAAAATACTGAGGCATTTTACATTGTATTTTTCACATTATGTCTTCAAAGTCTAATATGCACTTTGTTTATATATAGTATGTCTCCATTCAGAGTAGCCACAGTCTAAGAGTTCACCAACCACATGTGGCTCATGGACAACACAGTGGACAGTGCAAGTCTAGGCAACACAGGATTTACAGGTTGAGGGAGGTTGTACAATTATCTGGGCCTGTGGGCTGGCGATGTAGTTCAGTGGCACAAGCGCCTGCTTGGCAAGTGCAAGGTCCTGAGTTCAATTTCTGGTACAAAAAAAAATAATATATATATATACAATTATCTGAGCCCATCTAAGTTAGGTAGAAAAAAAAACTAAGGTGAGACAGAAGAAGCACAATCCTGCTCCAAGATGAGGGGTGAGCCCTAGGTATGAGAGTGACCCAAATAAACTTAACAGAAGTCTGAGTTATACCTGTCATTCTGCTCATAGATGTTAAGACCTAGGGCATCTACCCCTAGCCACAGCTCTGAGCCTTTCTTGTTCTTGATGCTGAAGTAGTTCACACCATACATCTCCAGGTCTTGAGCAATCTTTAGATATTCCAGGACAGCATCCTCTCTAAAAGACATAGGGTAAAGAAGCAGGTGTCACAGAGGGGAGGCTATGAATCAGGCTCAGGGAGATAGAAAAGTTTACTTGCTTTGTGTTTTTGACAAGGATCTTGCTATCAGAAATGGGAAAAGAGGTGGAAGGTACGCAGATGATAGAACAGAGCACACATGATTTTTCTCAAGCAAAATTTGCTGAAAGGAACCTAAGGTCTGAGGTACTTAAGGGGAATAAAGGTGTGCTGATCCTTGCTGAACTCTGCCATATCAGCTGCCATGGACACTATTTTCTTCATGTCATTCTTTGCAACAGCCTCTTATACGTTCCTAGCAGAACTTAGGCAGTGGGTGATGAAAGCACAATATCTGTTCCTCAGCTAGACTATCCTAAATGCTTTCTAATGTTTAAAGATCTCCTTTCCCATTTCATTTTTGGGAGGAGCCATCTGGTAGCTCTGATGCTCTTTGGGGATCCCAAAGTTTCCTCCACTTTTTATGGTCAAAATTAGACTAGCAGTTGTCATATTCACCAACACACACTCGCGTGCGCGCGCGCACACACACACACACACACACACACAGTCTTATATTGGCTCTGGTTTGCTTTCTGTCTTTCTTTAAGTGCCAGCATTATCCTTGTCTTTCCTCCAACATCCATTAATGTCCCCAGTCATCTGCTTGTTCTCCACAGAACCCACTCTTACTCTCTCTGTAAGGATAGTGGGGCCCACAGCTGCCGGAATGGGCTTACCTGAGCATGCCCCGGTGTTCTTCATGCCAGACTTGAATCCGTTCCTCCCACTGATCCTTGTTGAGTTTGTGTTGCTCCAGGACTCTGAAAAGACAAGGCATAGTGTTTAGTTTGCAGTGCAAAACCCATGTGCAGGAGGGAAAAATTAGACTAGCAGTTGTCATATTTATCAACACACACACACACACACACACACACACACACACACACACACACCCCGAGTCTTACATTGACTCTGGTTTGCTTTTGATTTTGATTCCTGGAAGGCAACTCAGTTCTTTAAAGAAATTGATCCAAATTTAGAGTCAGTCTATCAAGGTCATACAGAAAGTAGACTAAAATCACAGCAGAAGATATTAAATTAGAAATAAGTAATTTCCTAAGGGATAGGAGTGCTGTAAGCTATAGAGTACTAAGAAAAGCAATGGGACCACCTTCCTGTGTTGCTTTAACCAGAAAATTCAATAATATCCTGTGGTCTCCAAGTAGAACAGTGATTTATAAGGAATATGTGCTGACTTGAGGGGCAAAAAGTCAGGATGGGCCTCACAGACATAGGTATATCCTTTCCTGGATTTTCTTTTTTGGTACCAGGGATTGAACTCAGGACCTTGCACTTGCCAGGCAGGCGCTTATGCCACTGAGCTATATCCCCAGCCCCCTTCCCGGATTTTCTTCAGACCAATAGTTTGTAAGAATATTGCTCAGGAATGAGAGGAAAGCTTTTGGCTACAGAACAGAGAACTAAGCCCTACTGTCTTTGAAAGAAACAATGGGTGTAAACACTCAGGACTACTAGATTATAAAAGAGGCTTGCTTTAAACATGCCACTTCTGATACTATGATAACTCATAAAGTGTCCCAGGGCCCAACTAGTATCTCTAACTCCTTCTGATGGATTGTACATATGCCACAGATATCCCAGAATGAGATCCCAGAGTGAGATTTCATTTTTTTTCCTAATCCAAAAGTCTGTGGAGGGCCAGGGATATAGTTTAGTGGCACAGTGCCTGCCTGGCAAGTACAAGGTCCGGAAATCGATTCCTGGTACAAAAAAAGAAAAAGGCAAAAGTCTATGGAAATGACAATCAAATGCAATAGAAAAACACCACAGTTTAAAAAAATAAGAAATTAAGCGTTTTGGCATAGCTCAGCCTCAAAAGAGCTGTGCGAGATGGGGCAAGTCACGGCAAGTACCTCTACACTTCCATTTCTAAATAAGGATTATGCCGGCCTCATTATATGTGTTGTGGTGCTACAACAAAAAACAATGAGTGTTTGAGAGCTTTCAACTTTGAAGTTTACCAAAGGAGAAATCACTATATACTGGTTACCAATATTAAAAGACTGAGCTTTGTGGCTTTTATATGTCTCTCTCTCCCCTGGGAACTTCTGAAATTCATGGTCTAAATCAGTGAAAGGGATTGAGAAAATGGAACTAAGGAAAATGAATCTACCTCCATTTCTGTGTAAGGACCTATCTGCAGGGTAATGAAGTTCTGTAATTAAGTAGAGAGACGGGAAAAATAAAAGGCTTCTTATTTTGAGAGACAGAGAAACAACAGGGCATGATGATACATGCAAACATGTCACTCTAAGAGCACAATACAGGCTTCAGGCAGACCCAAGTGAGAAGGAACAGACCCAGCAGCCCCTGTCGAACAGGTATTAGTCATCGTTGAGTTGCAGTTCCCTTTGGCAAAGCCAATGGAGACCAGGGTGCCACCTTACCTCTGGGGCAGCAACTTGTCTCCAGCCAGGTAGCCAGACTTATGCACCTCCTTGTTGAAGTCACCATACTTGGACTGGACAGCATAAGAGGCCAGGAGCACAGCAGTTTCAGGTGGGCAGTAAATGTCATCATTGAGAATACCTTCCTTCACTTGCAGAAAGAACAGGCGCTGGGTGATATCCTGGATTAATTCTTCAGATACATCTTCAGGGTAGAACTTGGCCCGGAACTTAAAAAGCAAGGGGCTTTCCTTTCGCACATCCTGTGCAGTCACCTGGGAGCAACAAGGGGTTCACAACCTTTAAACAACAGGATTACATGGTCGGGGAGTGACTATAAGTGGAGGAGAAGACACTGAAAGGTCATCAGTTTGAGTAATCTTACAAAGCTAGGTGGAAATCTTGCTGATAATTCACAAAAGAGACATTAATTTCATTGGAAATCCTTCCTAGTCCCATGTCCATAATCACCTCCTGTTGACCTTGAGGATGAAAAACCCTCAAGTAACCAATATCTGACAATATATCCAACTGGCCTCAAATTTTAACAGTACAGGTAAGAAAGCTCTTCTTTCAAGGATCCTCTAAGTCCATAAAATAGCAAAGACAAGACTAGAAACTATGACTGAGGCCTGGGAATTGGCTAGGCAAAAACACAAACTAGATCATCTCTTAGTGGAGCTTTGTTTTTGTTTCTTAGAGACAGGGTCTTACTATGTAGTCTAAGTCACCCTTAAACTACCTATGTAGCCCAGGTATTGGCCTCAAGTTCATAATCCTCCTCCCCCAGCTCCCTGAATGCTAGAACTACAGGCATGTACCATGATGCCTGACCATACTAGATCATCTTTTAAAGCATGAAATTGGCTCCTAATGACTTTGTAGCTGTCTAGCAAAAGTCTCAACTCCTTGAGAAAACAAGACACTACCAGCAGAAAGTGGGGCACCCACCTCCTAGAGACATTCAGGGAAACAAGCCACAGTGCGGTACGGAGACCGCTAAGTACCAAGTAAACCAGTTTGAGAATACTAACATGAAGGACTGCCAGGTCCCTGCAGAGACGCTAATTGGGGCAGAAAGCTTGATTGGATTCAAATCATCCCGGTTGTAATCTAATTGAGGTGGAAAATCAAGAAAGAGCGAACCATCTGTACTGCCATGGTCAGGCAGTAGTGGACCAGTGAAAGAAAGGTACTATAAGACTAAGATCTTTGCATTTTTCTCCAGTACAAAAAAAAAAGTCTGAGGTTCTTTTTTAACAGATTCTTCTGCCATTATTCTGATCCAGATGGTCAACAGACCACCCAGTGATACACATAGCCCTAGGTAATCCAGGTTTGCTAGCTAGCACATGTTATCCCCTAAACAAGTTCTGATGGAGGAAGGTATTCAAACTTGACAGAGGAGTAAACAGTTACCTTCTTATTGAGTTTCAGCCAAGTGGAGAAACCCTTGGTGTCCTGGTACTGCAGACCAAAGAACCAAACTTCCCTCAGGCCAATAGTTTTCACCACCTGGAAGAGAAAACAGAAATCATAACTGGTTGAATATCTACCCTGTGCCAGGCAGAAGACATAAAAGTGGAGTCAACCTCACCTCTGCCCTTAAAAGGTTAAGATGCTCACATTAGAAAAGAAAAATACATTTGGACAGCAGTCAAGAACCAATGTCAGCACCTCTACACAAAGTACTATTGCTGAGGAAAGGAAATGATCTATTATTTATTAGCATCTAACACACCAAGAACCTGACGTCAATTACCTTCTTAATTTTCATAAAAGTGCTATGACATATATCAATTAGGCCCATTTCACAGATAATAAAATTGTAGAGAATTGAAATCATTTGCCCGAGGTTCCAGTAATGAGTGGCGGAGTCAGGATTCAAACCAGTCTGTTTAACTCCAGATCCATTCATGTTCACTTCCCCCTTCCCTCTGTTACATCACGCAGCTGTCTACACCCAGAACAGGTTAAAAACTGAAGGCAGAGATTGTTGGGGTAACTCTTGCCTTTTATATTTCTGGGTTACTCCCATATACAGTCCTTTATCTTTTCTTGTGTTTACCCATTTATTATAAAGGGTATTACAAAGGATACAAATGAACAATCAGATGGAAGAAATGCAAAAGGTGAGTGACGGGAGGAGTAAAAAGCTTCTATGTCCTCCAGCACATCATCCTCTGTTTCTCCACATGGGTTCATCTATCCAGAAGTTCCCCAAACCCCATCCTTTGGTTTACTATGAAGGACTTATCATGTGAGTGTGAGTGACTGCATCACTGGCCGGAAGTATCATCAACTCAACCTTCAGACTCTGTTGTTCCTTGTTTTTAGCAACTAGGAAAAACGTCTGCGACTTAAAGATTGATTCCCATTTATACTATCCCAAGAAAGTATGTTTGGAGATATATATAATCCTGAAGCTCTGCTGTCCCTAGGTTTTGCAATACTTTTTTCCAGTCCTACAAAGAGCCTAGTCATGATTACCCTCACATAGGTTGAAGATGAAAACAAGGCAGATACCTCACCATAATAGTCTTGGCTAAGCAGTGGTCAAAAAAGAGAAGCCTGCCAGGAAAAGACAGATGGAGACTGTTCTCCAGTTTCTGTCATTAGCATGTTAATAATGGTCTGGCTGTCAGCTCAACTCCTGCATGCCCACCACCAGAGATGGCGGCAGGCAAGCTGAGCCACATCCTAATGAGTTCAGCCTGACATTAAGCAGTCTTCTTTATCTTTTCTTTGGGTGGGGGTGGAAATAAGGGTTTAGAGCGCAGTGAGTAATGAGTCTAAGAGATAGAGACAGAAGCAAGGAAGACATTGCTATTAATTAGCTCACAAGAAAAATAACCTCATTTCCCATCTACCTCTTGCTGACTTGAGTAATTAGAAATATATTTTAGAAAGGTCAATGTGCGGGAGATGATGAAGAAAGAACAAAAGGCTTTCAAGCCAAGTATGGCAGCACACGCCTGTAATCCCAGCACTTGGTAGGCTGAGGCAGGAGGTTTTGTGGAGAGTTCAAGGCCAGCCTGGATTGCATAGTGAGTTCAAGGCTACCCTGAATTACATAGCGAGATCCTGTCTCAATAAAAGGCTTTCAGGATTCAAAGGCAGGTGAGTCCCTTGCTCTAAGTCAATGGGCAACAGAAGCTGTCAGCAAGTTTTAGATGAAGAAATGTGAATATTTATGTTGAAAAGCGATACTAGCTTTTTGAGAAAATGGAGGGGACCAGATGGATAGATTTTCCATAATGTGTTCCTATGCACCAATAATGAACTCACAAGAAATTAGAAAAACAATACTATTAATAAAAGCATCAAGAAAAATTAAGCTGGGGATATAGCTCAGCGGCACAAGCACCTGTCTGGCAAGCACAAGGTCCTGAGTTTGATTCCTGGTACAAAAAAGAAAAAAGAAAAATTAAATACTTAGGAATTTACCCAACCAAGAAAGTAAAAATCGTCTAAAATGAAAACTATAGTACTTTGAAAAATGAAACCAAAGAGGACATTAAAAAATGGAAACATATGCTGTTCCTGGATGGACAGAACCAACACTGTCAAAATGGTCAAACTTCCAGAATTGATATACAGATTTAACATAATCCCAAACAAAATACCAACAGTATTCCTCACAGAACTAGGGAAAACAATCCTAAAACTGATATGGAACCAGGAAGTGCCTCAGAATAGCAAAAACAATCTTGGGCAACAACAGCAAACCAACACACATCACAATCCCAAACTTCAGGTTCTATTACAGAGCTACAGTTATAGAAAACAGCATGGAATTGGCACAAAGAGAGATACACAGATCCATGGAATGGAACAGAGGATGCAGAAACAACCTCAAGTACATTCAGTCATCCAACCTTTGACAAAGGGGCCAAAAACATGCTGGAGGAAAGATAGCCTCTTTAATAAATGATGCTGGGAAAAATGAAACTGGATCAAAGATCTGGATATAAGAATAGAATGTACAGAATGAAAAAAACTTTGCTAGCTATTCTTCAGACAGAGGACTAATGTTTAGAATATATAAAGAACTCAAAAAAATTAGACCCCCCCCCAAATAAAAGACTCAATTTTTTTAAAAGGGCAATTCAAATGAATAGAGATTTCTTAGAAGACGAAGTCTAAATGGCCAATAAACACACAAAAAAGTGTTCAACATCCCAGGCCATTAGAGAAATGCAAATTGAAAGAACACTGAGATTCCATCTTATCCAGAAAGAATGGCTATCATCAGTAAGTTACATACTGGTAATTACTAATGCTGGAGAGGCTACAGGGAGAAAGGAACCCTTCTACATTGATGGTGGGAATGTAAACTAGTACAACCACTATGAACATCAGTGTGGAGATTAGTAAAACTAGAAATTCCATTTGACTCAGCTATTCCTCATCTAGGTATCTTCCCAAAAGAGTTGAAGAGGGGGCTGGGGATTTAGCTCAGCGGCACAGTACCTGCCTGGCAAGCGCAAGATCATGAGTTCAATTCCTGGTATAGGAAGAAAAACAAAAACAAAAAACCAAACCAAAAGAGTTGAAGAGATCATATTACAGTGATAGACCCATACCCATATTTATAGCAGCATAATTCATAATAGCTAAATCTTGAAAGTGGACTATAATGTCCATCAACAGATTAATAGATAAAGAAAATAGGGTAGTTATAAATAATGGAGTAGTACTGTGCCATAAAAAGGACAAATCTGAGTCATATGTAGGAAAATGGATATATCTTGAGACAATAATGTTAATTAAAATAAATCAGACACATAAGCATTATCACAGTTTCTTTTATATGAGAACCTAAAATATAAATAAGACCAAAATAGAAGATAGATAGTACAAAATATGAAGATAGATCTTTTGCAAAAGAGAAGGGGACCCAGAGATGATGGGATGGAAGAGGGTAGGGAGAAGGAGATGAAAAGAAAATCAAAATGTTAGGTACATGTATCAACTCCTCACAAGGAATATAACAATTACATAATGCAAACATATACTAATAAAACAATAAAATAATAAAAAGTTGTTTAACCATGTTCCCCCTGGCTTGGGCCACTTGTCGTACATGTACGACATGGGAAGGTGATGCATGTCCCACAGGTGGTTCAAGCCAGGGGGAACACAACAAGTTCATATCAGAGCTCTCTGGTAGTGAGACATAAAAAATATGGCACTGTCTTGAATGGGTTAAAAGTATTTTTTATCCTAAACCTAAGATTCGGCCCAACTAACATATTCTACCAATTTTCCACAGGGCTGCAAAAGAATAAGTGTACTGATGCAATTGGTGGGAAGAAGCAAGCTCCAGGGAACAATTTAGCCCCAGGTGAGAGACATTCATTGCAGATCCTGAAGATAGGATGGACTTTCAGAACTAAGATACTAGGTCACCGGGGAATGGAACAAAGTGGGAACAGAACCGCAAGAGGAACAAGTTGCCGTTACCGGAAGCAATGGGTCAGTTGTAGTTTCAAGTCAGTTTATACAACAAGAGCAGAAGAAAAGAGTGCTGGCTTCAATTGCAAACTGCACACATCCTATGTGACTGAGTCATAAATGCTTCCTGATTTCATGGCTCCTTCATCTGAATTCCCAGGGCAATGTGCATCTACTTACTAAGAACAATTGATATTGGAAAACCTGCTACGCAGCAGTCACTTTACTTATTTCAGAATTAAATCACAAAATCTCTAAGATTTTAGTGTGATTACCATTTTACTGAGGAAAGTCTCAAGAGGCTAAATAAACCACCCAAGGTCACAAAGCAAATAGCAGGATAAAATTTGAACCAGGACTGACTCCAAATCCTGTGTTGTACATACCACATCATGCAACCAAAGCCTCAGGGTTTTCATTCTCTGTGGAGAGAGTTGCGTGTGCTTATGTACACCTCCATAAAGAACTCCCAAGATTCTATGGGCAGAGATGGTGTTTGTTAGGTCTAGGGATTCTCCTTGAGACACCGTAGACCCTCAGTCAATATTGAATGAGTCAATGACTTGACGAAGGAATGGGATGTGCAGAGATTTCACCTTTCTCCGAAGACTCCAAGAATTTGAGGGGGAGAAGTGATTACAGATAAACTATAGTAGCTAGAGCTGGAGCCCGGCAGAGGGTTCCTAAAAATGGAACTCACTGTTGTAATACTACCCTCTAGTGGCACCTAGGTAATTTAAGATCAAGCCCTTTGAAGAAGCTCAGCCTGTATATGTTAAGTGAAAGAGTATCTGTAGCAAGACGTGCACTCTCTTCCCTGGCCGCGAAAACACTCACAAGGAACAGGTAAATGGGAGGAAGAATAGGCCCCATTTCCCTTTCCCACCAGGACATGAATCTCCTCATACTATAGCTTCCCACTGTTGACAGCTGTCTATCACTGGCTCTGGTGCAAAGAAGGATGCTTCCTCCCAAGTCCACTTCCTCTCTCATCATCAGCCAGATGACTGTTGGATTCCAGGATGGTCCTGGAGCTTTTTTCAATTCTTTTCAAGGAG